CTTAAGTTATTTGCATCAAGCATTCTGTCACAGTGAGAAGAAAGCGAACACTGTAAATATACCATTGTCTTTCAAGTCATTAACCAGAAATTATTCATTTATTTTCTAATTATTGGGAAAGGAGGCCTACAAAAACTCAGCAATAGATTTATTCCCTACTTCTCTTTCTTAGCTGGAAATATTACATAGAATGCACAGGATATTTATTGCTATGGATGATTGATTGATAAATAAAACACTGAATGGCCAGTAGCCAGGCAGGAAGTATAGGTGGGACTAGCAGAGAGGAGAATTGAGAGAACAGGAAGGCGGAGAAGAGGAGACGCCAGCTGCCGTTCAGGGAGCATCATGTAAAGGCAGCAGGTAAAGCCACAGAACACGTGGCAACATATAGATTAACAGACATGGGCTGAGTATAAGAGTAAGAGCTGGGGCTGGAGAGATGGCTCAGTGGTTAAGAGCACTGACTGTTCTTCCAGAGGTCCTGAGTTCAACTCCCAGCAACCACATGGTGGCTCTCAACCATCTCTGGCGCTTATAAGAAATAGCTAAAAAAAAAAAAAAAAAGAGTAAGAGCTAGACAATGGTAGGTCTGAGCTAATGGCCGAGCAGTTTAAATAACATAAGCGTCTGTATGTTTATTTTATAAGTGGGCTTTGGTACTGCCGGGGCTTGGCAGGGCCCGGAGAGAAAAACTCTAGCTACAATTTATAGAGAAATACATCCAGGAAAAAAGGATCTTCATAGCTCTAAAAAGTCCCTTTCAAAAGTCCTGTGCAAAACTGAACATGGGTGCTCGTTCCTACCAGTTGCTTTGACATTTTTAAACAGTGAAAAATTGAGGTAAAATCTGAAACCCACAAAATATCCTGACAGGGATTATAGATACGGCTGAAAGGGGTACTTGCCGCTCTACCAGAGGACCCAAGTTCAATTCCCAATATCCATGTGGGGTGACTCACAACTCCCTGTAACTCCAGCTGCAAGGAATCCATGCCTTCTTCTGGCATCTACAGGTTCCTGCACTCATGTGTACATACCCACACAGACATATGCACATATACATAATTAAAAATAAATCATTTAAAAATTGTTAGAAATGTACAGTTTAAATGATTGAGTTGGAAACCAATTATTTGGACTGTCCTTCCTAAAACTATTTTTCAACATTATATAACAATGTCTGGCTCTCCATAATTAATGTCATTGGAGATGCAGAAGGAGCTAAGGATAGTGTGATTGGGGCCATGTTGTTGTGGTATAATATTTACTAGAACAGAAAAACTGTATAATTGCTAGATAAGGGCTCAATGTTATCTCTAAAAATAACCATTCATTATGTAATAATAAATGCTTTATTCACCTTTTTATTCGATAAATGTGAAAAGTTATTTTTATATGAGATGAATGAGAGAATTGGGAAAACTGGAAGAAGAGGAATAGAAAAGCAGCCTAGAGGGACGGCAGTATCTGTAGTTTCTGAAAATGCCTATGAGGCTACAACAGAGTGTGTGCATGCATGGCTCAAAGCTCTGGGAGGTTTACAGATTGCTAAATTATCAAAAATAATCTACTCACGTGGGCCCAAAAGCCTATTGAAAACAAAAGTAGATTTAGATGTGCTTGGAAAACTAGCCTGAAGCACACCAAAAGTCAAAGGTAGTTGGAAGGCTAGAGAAACTGAAGATTCAAAAAGATAAGAAGTACAGGCCTACCCATGGCCTGGGTGGGCAGGAAGCCAGCAGGCCTCGGGGGGACTGGGCAGGTGCCACTAAGATGATCAGGTATGTGGTGGAGAAATGGGGGAGAAGGGGACAGGGGCCTGAGCTGTGGAGAGAGATGGAACAGAAGACTGAGACAGGGCAACAGTGAGGGATAGGCTGATATGGGGACCTACACTGACACCTGGTGCCATGTGACTTCTGGCCTGCACTGCTCCCAAGAGCCATGTCTGAGTTTGTGGCCAGGGTCTGTGTTGATGTCCACGAACTGTGTTACCACCAAGGGCCATATGGATGCCCAAGGTCTGGGCCACCACCTGAGACCATGTTGATGTCTGAGGGCCATGCTGCCACCAGGGACAAACTAATCCAAGTATTGCCACCCAAGGCCATGGTGATGTCCAGGCCCAAGCTGTGGCCAAAGGCCATGTGTGGGTCCATGGTTCAACTGCAGCCAGGGTCTGTGATGATATCTGTGCCTGTGTTACCACCAGGGGCCATGGGATAGCTGGCCCCAGTGGCCTGGGCACAGAAGAATTGGTCCTGTCTCTCTTAAGGCTACTGGCTACTTAAGAGGGAGATATGTCTCCCTCTGCTCTCAGGAGAGCTGGACCCAACTCTCAATGGCCCTGGTAGAACTGTTCCCCCAACCGCGGCCGCCACAACTGTAGAGCTTGCTCCTGCATGAGGGAGAGCTGGCCCTGACCCTCATCTGAGTGGGCGGTCCTGATGGACGCTCAGACTGACCAACCTAGCTACCAGGCCAACATCTAGGGCTTGAGTTGGCCCACCCCAACATCTACACCATGCAGGACCTCCTGGAGCTCATGAAGGGACTGGTCCTATAGAACCCTAGCTGCAGGATATCCATGACTTTGGGCAATAGCAGGATATTCAAGAGAAGTTTCGATGAGAATCCAGTATTGATGGTGTGCCAAAAGCCAGAGGCGTTGAACCAGAGCAACTATTCAGTGCACTGAACATTTCTAAGTAAAACTGTTTGAACAAAAGGGTATACTGAGTGACACACAGCTCCCAAGGCCACTCCAACAAAAGAATATGTGATGGCAAGATAGGAAAGACAGAGGAGCAAAATGTTTGTTTGTTTGTGTGTTTATTCTTGGGGAGGATACAAGGGTGGAGGGTTGACGTGGAAAAGCTGGGAAATCATTGTGATTGGGGTGCATGATGTGAAATTCTCAAAGAATCAATTTTAAAAATGTTAAAAAAATAAAGATAAGAGACAAACTTCAATTTTCATTTGGAAACATTTTTAGAGAGAAAATGGAGGAAACTCCTGAGAGACTGTTTATGTGAGTTATAACAAGAGTTATCATATGAGAAATTGAAATCTGAAATATTTACTTAATTGTCTTAAAATAATTACAATGAAACTGTTTTATAGTGTAGCCTAGGTTGGCCTCTAACTCATGATCCTTCTGCCTCGGCCTCTTCAGCATGTGGTGGTGGTGGGGGAGTGTTCAAGATAGGGAGACACTATATAGCTCTGGCTGTCCTGGAACTCACTTTGTAGACCAGGCTGGCCTCAAACTTACAGAGATCTGCCTGCCTCTGCCTCCCGAGTATTGGGATTAAAGGCATGTACCATCATGCCCAGCCAACAACAAAAACTGTATATACTACCATATATATCTTATGAAAAGTAAATACCCTTTCCAAAACAGAATTTAAGAAATGAGTGAGAAGAGTGGTATTGTCTGAGCTCCCTTACACACGGCAACTGAGAAGCAGCACTGTGGCTTGGGTTAGTCATCAATCAGATGGCGCAAAAAATACAGAAACATTCTCCAAAAAAATGACTTTATTCTACTGAATGTTTTATAGACGGAGGAAAAGTAAGGAGAAAATGAACCCAAAATGTCAGAAATGTAACTCTCATTTTATTTTAATCTTTCAAAATCAAACTTCTAATTTGATAAAAATTGAGTTCATTATAGATACGTTAGCACTGCAAAAGATAGTAAAATAAAGAAAAATCAAACTATAATTTGCAAAAACTATAATAATATACTTATGTAAACCTTTCCTTTTATAAAATTATATAATGACCATCTCCAAGGAATACACACAAATACATGTGTTCATACCTACATATACCCACAGACACACATATGTCACTACCTATTTATGTTAACATCTGGAAAAGATTGTAGTATGAAATATAACTAAATTAGATCAATAACATTACCTATTTTTCCATGCATTCAAGAATCACTTTAAATATAATATACATACATTTTAGTCAGAATTCAAACCATGGTATCTATTAACAAAATGATAAATTAAGAGTGAAAGTGATCAGTGAATAAATGTGCCTTTTTACTTTATCCAAAAGGCTGCATTTTAAATTTTTCCCTATAAATTATAGCATTGAGATATCCAACAGACTAATAGGACTATGTAGGAGAAACTACTTTGTGTCTTCCTAGAAGGAACTTATCTACTGACTTTTTTACAAAATACACTTGGTTATGAGCTAGATCACTGCACTCAACAGAATCTAATCAATTGTGGACTCATGAAATCTTTTCAGTTCTTTTTCAATTGTTAGTATATAGGTGATTGGAGAATTGAATAGCTTCCTAGACAAAAGTCTACTAAATGTAGAGAGACTGCAATAGAGTATAAGAAGAGCAAAGTCTAACAGACCATCTTGCACTGAAGAAGCCAAGCTTGCAAATAAAGAAAAACATCCTTTGAAATTAATGTTAGGGTGTGATTATAAATATTTTAACTGCAATAAATTATGGTCAATTTTTTAATATTCTTTTCAATGTTATAGAGATGTCAAGAGTCTTATTTACTTTAATTCATATGATAGCCACATATAATTTCTTATCTTATTCTTAACAAAACTGGTTCATGTTCCAGAGAAGAAAGTGTCATGAAATGGTAAGCATTCCATGTAGGCTGGATGCTTCCAGGAAAACAAAGATACAAAACCCTTATAAAGTCTACTACATAATCTGTAGTTGACCCATTCAACAACAGTGTTGAATAATTTTGGTTTAATTCTGATTGGATTAATCAGTTCTCAGGGAAGGTATCATCTGTTGGAAAGAAGAGTAGACATTGTCTGGAGAATGATGTTGCAAAAAATAAACAAAGCCTACTTTAAGTGTTTTGTGAAAATTAATCAAAGTGAAACAATATAGATTATAGTGTTCTGTTTCATAATTTGGTTACATTACTTCCAAGGCTTCATATAAAAAGTATTCCTGTTACACTACAAGCTAGAGTTGTGTTCAAAAGTCTCACCAGAATCTGAACGTCTGTAGCCTGCTCTTGAACCATGTGAATTGCTTTGGCCAGATCTTCTTCTCCTTCTGGAATACTGAAATTGTCATCTGGTATCTAGACAAGGGCAGGAAGAATGGGCAGAAATGTCAAGTACCACACAGACATCCCTGCTTATAATAAGGATACATTCTCAGACATGATGCAGATATTTCAAACTGTGGTTAGTTCCCAACCTTACATATGCTACTGTTCCCATATAAGCATGCAATAAAGTTTAATTTATCAAATGGGCACAATAAGAGACTAGTAATAATGATAATAGTAACATAACAATCATAACAACAGACTACAATAAAGTCATTTAAAACTTACTCTTTATTTATGGGGTTTTCAAGACCAATTTTTGGACTATAGTTGACAATGGGTAACTAAGCCAGAAATAGGGTACAATAATGGGCAGGTCTCACACGGTCTCTTGCACTGAGGAAGTAAATTATACAACTAAATAAAAAGTATTATTTTTAATTAATGCTGATATGGAAACACAAGGGGACACATCTACATGTCACTTCAGAAGATTTCTTCCTAAATAATGCTTCCAAGAAATATACTCCACATAGGACACTGTATGCTTCTAAAGATGACCTAAGTCTGTGTACTAGCAAGCTTCTTGCCTGTCAAGGTCACAGGCCAGGCTCACTTCCACAATTTCGTTCAGTTTCTGACATCTAAAAGTGACTTTACATCCAAGTCTCAGAAGCAATGAATTAAAGGAAATTTCTGAGACAGGAGCATGTTTTCCAGAACTAAAATTAGGATAGAAGAAAGCAGAAGCCTGACCTCCAACTGGTGCTGGCAATCGAGAATCCCTGTCAAAAGCAAACTGGACAGTGGGAAAAGGTTCCATATAGGAATGATCATCTATGAGGCCACAGACAAGGGATGTGACAGGATTGAACCTAAATGGTGAGGGGGGACCAGAACAGGCAGATGTCCCACCCAGTGTGTTTAAACAGCATTCCCCAACTAACTCACAATCAGCCAATAGTTAACTTCTGTTCCACACATAGTTCATCTTAAATAAAGCCCTTATATGTTCCAGAAAATAAGACAAACCATTCATATGAATGACCACAGTGAACTCACTGAGATGTAAAATTAACAAGTTACCTCTTCATATTCACAGTCATCTTCAGAAGCATCAGTTATGGTGACCTCTGAGTATTTTGTCAAGTTTAAATGCAAAAAAAAAGTGGAATAATGTTATTATACTAAAGTTACTTGACCTCAATTACAGTATTGGATCTAATTACCTCAATATGAAATTTATAAATACACATATTTTAATTTTCAACCTGTTTTCTCCATATAGCCTCTAATTTTAGATATAAATTATTTCAACTAGTATTTTATAACATTAAGTCCATGAAAAACTACACTCATATATGTTTGCATGAGTATTATCTAGTAATTTCCAGTTTGACTTTAAGAATCTTTCTAAAACTACAGAGGATCATTACAATAGTATGAATTAGAAAGGCTGGGTGGGTACTCAGTGGGTAGACTGCGTCTCACTCAAGCATGAGAACCCAAATTCAGCGACTCAGAACCCACGTAAGCAGACAGGATGGGAGGCTCCGAGGCCAGCTAGCTAGCAGAAGCAGCAGCGAACAATTAAAGTGGGGACAAACACCTGAGGCTGTCCTGGGATCTTCATACCATCGCATGAATGTGCCTGAACTTACACACAGGAACACACAAACACATTTGCACATGTGTGTGTGTGCACGCATTCATATGAAGATAAATACGAAAATCATAAATTTTTCTAATTATCTGAAGCAAAACTGAACTTTCAAAAGCTTCTAAATATTCGTAATGTCACATGACTGTTTGGTTAAAGGATTTAAGTGAACAGCACAATAAGCACACCAGTACTTAGAAACAAGTAAACACATTACGATGCTTTCATGAGTAAAACTTAAATCTCTACTCTTGAAATACATATAGGTTTCTAATTAAGTTTCTCTAATTTTTAGCATATATAAACTAACACAGCAATCATATTTCAATATTTTATGAATGTTCAAAATATTAAATTATACAAAAAATGATTCCAATAACAAGGAGTTCTAGAAGTGCTTCTGTGAGACCTTTAAAAGCTTTATTGTTCTACTAACAAATGAAAATTTTAACATAACATTACAACAAAGGAAATAATAATAAATGGCCATAACAGCCTCAGGGGCATGATTTTTTTTTCAGTTGGCTGGTTGGTTGCTTACATTTTTAGAATTATTAATCTAAACAACATTCTAAGTAAATACTGTGAATCAGACACTGAATATATAGTAATGGTTATTAAAGTCAAAGATGAGATTAATCCATTTTTATTTTGTTACTGGTTGTAATAACTGCTTTATGTCTCAAGTGTTAATATGCATATACGTTCTATTATTTGTAATAAGAATAGATAACACACAGTATTTAAAAAGAACTAGGAATATACCTACCTGGAACACGAATTTCTAAAAGTATTTTTAATAAAAAAAAAAAAAAAAACTTGAGAGCCAGGCATTGGGATGAATTCAGAAGATCAGAGAAACAGAACAAGCCACAGCTAACCTCACCTTGCAACTTCTCAGCCGATCCTGTTTCCTCAAACTGGAAGCCTCTGAGTCCTCATCCGAATGGATCTCAGCTGAACTGCTGCTAAAAGCCTAAAAGCTTAAAAAGACCTCTAGTTCCTGGTCCTCACGCCTTATATACCTTTCTGCTTTTTGCCATCACTTCCTGGAATTAAAGGCATATGTCTTTCCCAAGCAAGACATGAGATTTCAAGTGCTGGGATTAAAGATATGTGCCACCATGCCTGGCTCTGTTTCCAGTGTGGCTTTGAACTCACAGAGATCCAGATGGATCTCTGCCTCCAGAATGCTAATATTAAAGGTGTGTGTGCCATCATTTTCTGGTCTCTACATCCATCTAGTGGCTGTTCTGTTCTCTGACCCCAGATAAGTTTATTAGGGTGCACGATATATTAAGGGACACAATATCACCACACCTAGCTATTTCCTATGTACTAAGACATTTACTCCTTATCCTGTTATGAGTCTGGAACTATTATCTCCATTTTACAAGTCAAAAAATCAAAGATAGAACTTTAAAGACCTTAGACTGAAGTTGGGAATCAACCAGAGATTTCAGGCTTTGTGATGTACACAGCCTCTCCAGTCTTCACGAATTCCTGTGCTGGCAAATACTAGAAGTGTTTGCCACTTGTTTCTCATGGGATTCTAAGCTTCTAAATACATTCTTAATACTCAATTCCATAATAACCCATCATTCTTCGCTGTCTGCCTATTCCTATCACTCACATGAGACATTTAATCCTAATTCACTTATGACCAATCCCCAGATACCAGATCCTTGCCCAACAGTCAATATTCTGTGGTCAAGCACAAGTGTCTCTCCCATCAAAGTAATCAGGCTCAAAAATAAGTAGTTCAAAGATTAAACAACTATTCAAAATGCTGCATGCCTGCAATCTGTTTCATAACTTCAATGTATCCTCATAAATGCTTTGAGGAGAAATGTGACTACTTGTGTCAGCTATCTATGGCTGCAAAACAATTCCCATATCTTTAAGGAACTTTTCCTACACCAACATAAGTCCTCTGAATACTTGTGCTATCCCAAGTTCCACAGCCACTCTTATATTCCAGAAACATTTCTAACGTTAGTGTCTCAGTTTCCAAAATCTGTGTTTATTATTTATTGCTTCATAACAAACTTCAAATAACATATGGTTTAAGAGAACAATAAGCAAACACTGCTTATTACAATGTAGATGAACCTGGAAGACAGCAGACCAAGCAAAAATAAATCAGAAACACATAGGAAGACAGTACACCAAGCAAAAATAAATCAGAAACATGTAGGATCTCACTTACTTCTGGCACCTACAAGTTGTTCAACTTAAAGAAACAGACAGTAGAAGGTAGTTACCACAGGTTAAGGGTGGAGAAAATGGGGAGATGTTGATCAAAGAGAATACATTTCCAATTATGAAGTGAGTAAGTTCTGGAGGTCTAGTGCACAGCATGGTGGCCACGTGACAATAACGAGTCGTATACTTGACATTTTCAGAAAGCATAGATTTTCAGTGGTTTCATTACACCAAATGAAAAACTCCTCAGAAAAGGAAAATTAGAGCTAACACATGATCCAGCTGACCATGCATGGACATATACCCAAAGGGACCAAAGTCAGCATACACAGAAATGCCTGTACAGCTGTGTTCACAACAGCCAAAATACAGGAGCAGCTTAGATGTCCATTAACACGAACTGTAAAGACAGTGTGAATCATCTACATGCACAATGGAATTCTGTTCAGCTATAAAGAAGAAAAATGTCATTTGTAGGAAAATGGAACTGAAGATCATCATATTAAGAGACCCAGAAGGACAAATGCTGCATGTTTTCATTCATATGAGAAATCTACACATTATATTATACCCAATAAATTCATATATACATGATGCCAAAGTAGACAGTACTAGGGGTAGAGTAGTGGGAGGTGAGAGAACAGAACAAGAGAGGAAGGACTGTGAAGCAGGGTACATGATACACATGTATAAAATGTCATAATGAAGCAAACTACTGTGTATGCTAACTAAAGCAATCATTTTTTAAAATGTAACTACATGAGGCAAATACTTTGTCTTAGTTACTCTTCTGTCGCTGTGATAAAACACCGTAACCAAGGCAACTTTTAGAAGGAAGCCCTTATTTTATCTTCTAGTTGCAGAGGGTTAAGTCCACAAAGGCAAAGAGAAGACAGCAAACAGGCATGGAGGCTGGAGCAGCATGCTGGCGTTCCCATCTTGAACCACAGCACCCAGCAGAGAGCAGCCGGAAATGGGCTTAAAGGTCACTCCAGTGACATACTTCTCCCCAAAAGACATGCTTCCTAAGACTCCCTGAACAGTGCCATCAACTGGAGACCAAGCGTTCTAATACTTGAGTCTATGAGGGACATTATTGTCATTCAAACCACCACATGCATTAATTTCTCATCTGTATGTCCTAGATATATGTATCAAAGTTTTACATGTACAGCTTGAACGTATGCAATTTATATTGTCAATCATATTTCAATAAAGCTTGCAAAAGGAACAATTAACATTTGTTATGTCACCGTTTCTGAAGGTCAAGAAAACTTGAGCTACTTAGCTGGATGATTCTGAGGATCAACCATGATGACCCAGTCAAGGTGACAGATGGCAGTCATCTGAAACCTGAGCTAAGGCAGCAGCATGTACTTATAGGCAGCTGACTGACACTGTCTCACTGTTGGATGAAGGCCTTTGTTCAGTCTTCATGTGATTTTCTCCACAGACAGAGTAGCTAAGCTTACTTCAGAATTGATAATCAATGATGAGGAAGCCACAACAGTTTTATCACCAAGCCTCAAGCCACAAGTTCAATATCTTGAAGGTTGTACAAGGCAGGGCGAGTATGTTCAGTATACGAGGACTAGTGAAAAGCATGACCTGCTAGGGGTACAGTGTAGTGGGACATGGCTTGCCAAGCATGCAAGAGGTCCTAAGATCTATCCCCAGAACCTCAAAAACAGAACATGAATTCCAGGAGGCAGGACCATTGCTTATCATGTTAGGGATGGCCCAGCTACCAAACTGCCTTATATGCTTTAAAGAAACCTAGAAAAGGAAATATGTGAGAAAATCATTTAGAATGGTCCCTAGGCTACATAAATGCTATACATCTATTTTTTTATTCCTCATTCTAGAAAGAGATGATCATCTATGAAGAAATCTTTGCTCATTGGTTAAGGGAAAAGGATAAATAAAGCCAATCTAGGTTTCCCTCCAGCTCTACATTTGCATTTTCTGATACATTTTTATTTACTTAAATAAAATTTCCTGGGGGCTACTCCAAAGTGATTTCAATACCAGTCTCTTGTCAATCAGTCTCCAGAAAATAATGTCATTCTTCCCACTTGTACATGATGAATTCCAAAACAAGGTAAATATTCTAAAATCCTCTGTACAGACTTTAAAAGTTACAAATGAGCCACACTGTCTATGTGTAGAATAAATGCAAAAGGTGGGTTGTTAATGTGGTGATAGAGAAATGAAAATGTGGTTTGTCCTCACAGAGCACTGGTTATATCAGGTAATACTTGGAAGTCTTATACAGCAAATCTTCTTCGCAATAACTTTTAATCATGAAGAACATATTGCTTCCTCACAATTAAAAAAAAAAACAGAGTACATGAAAAATACTATTTCATTAAGCATGGAAGTGTTTCCCATGGAGTACAGTGATGTTTATTTTCAAAATGACCGAGATTGAATATCCCAGTCATATCTAAGATGAAAATTAAGAAATAGAAATTAAGAGATTTCCTAGGGAATCATATGCCTATAAGTGACAGAGACAAGTTTCTTGTGTCTAATGCCAAGAATTTTCTGTCCTATCACACTGTTTTTACACTGGCACAATAAGAATACAGGGTTTATTAACATCTTAGATAATATAAGTACAAAATTTGTTTTCAATATCCTAGGAAATGAACTCACATATTTGTTTTCCAAATCTCAGTGGCACCTTACCAGCAGCTAAATAAAATCTTTTAAACAGCTCAATTTGAAGACCACAGAGGAGAAAAAAGTATAAAACAGCTAGAGGCTATAGAGCTGATCATTAATTTAACCAAGGCCAAATGATTAGTAAGAAGAAAAATCAAATACAGAACAAAGTGCCCCAAAGAGGGGCCGCTATACTCTCTGACTGATACCTTTAAGTATCCACAACATGGTCTGTGCAGAAGAGCTTCCCAGAGCAACTCATCTCTAAGGTGGTGGTGCGGTGTTCTTGAAAAACCAGGTGGACTACTTATGGTGTGGATATTTGTATGCATCTGTTGTCTGGATATCTAGCAACATACGGCCAATGCACAAGCTAATACTAAATGATTCTGTAGCAACTTACAAATGTGCATGTCACTGGAAATACAGAACTCAGTGAACGTGAAAATTGGAGGAGAAAGGGGAACAGAAATACACAGCAGTGTAGAACACCCGGAGGATCTCAAAGACTTAAACTTGAAACCACAGGCTTGACTCTAACCTCACCAGTGCTTGGGGTAAAGATGGGTTTGTAGCCAGATGCCAGTTTCTGATCCTTCCCATGAAAACAGATAACCTGCCCAGCACATGAAAGTGTTTTCTGTTTCCAAAGCCTCATAGGTTCTCACAAAGAGAATGCACTGTATAAAATTACTGATCCCATTGACCCTTGGGACAGCATGAGAAATGAAAACAAATCTGATGGAGTATCACCTGTAAAAGGAAATTTGGAAAACATTTCTCTGGAGAGCAATCTTGCAAGGGTGAAGAGGGGCAAGTCATGGACAATTGTCTGCAAGAAAAAAGTAATACTTGGCTCTGCTTCGACTTCCACTGAACAACCTTCTCACCTGTGACCTACTCTCTCCGGAGAGCCCATGTTCTAGGAAACACCCTTATACAATTACGCTCTTCATGATTTATATGCAGAGATTTATATGTTTTCCAATGAGAAAAATAAGTGAGCATTTAGACTCAAATTGTTTTAATGATGCCAAGGTGGCTCTTAGCAGTTCAAATGTTTCTACCCAATATCTGCCCACTACTCTTCCAAACAATAGTAAAGTTGCACTCCAGATCCAAATCTCATTTTCCACCTTTTCTATTGCCCTGGCCTCTAGCCCCTGCCTTTCTGTGCACTCATATCTGCAGAGCCTCAGTCTATAGCCTCTTCTTGCTCTTGTCCGTTCTATGGCTATCCCTTCCTGCCTACATCCACGGCATCTCGCACCTCCAGGCCAGATTCTCTATCCTACAACGGCAGCCTAGTTAGACTGCAGCGCCCACTCTGCCACATCTTCACGTTTCTAGGAGGGATTTAGGGATGTCGAATTTTACAGTATGAAACACTCCCTGATAGTCACAATGTCTAGTCTCTAAATGCAAATGCTGGTCTCTGAACTAGCAGAATCTGCCCTAGATCTTTATATTGTGGATCCCATCAGAAGATGGGCCAGTATTTATAATGCATGCACCGAAAGTACCATGGAACACACTGGCACTATCCCAGTACCACAGAAGACACAGCTTCATGACCAAATGCCTCTGAGGGACATTTCGGCTGAACTAACAACAGATATGACAACCTGAATGGGTCACAAGTATGTTCTTCTGCAAATGGATCAATGAACAATTTGCAGCTATAAGCAATAAACTTCTCCACTTACAAGACCCATCCACTGCCACACTTGTAGGTAGGGATTATGGCCAGCAGCATCTTTAGAGAGAACCAGAATGAGACATCGCTAACTAGGCTTTCCATGATTTCCCAGAGTTGTAGACAGAAATCACTTTGCAATCTTTGCCATCTTCTCAGAGCCAATGCTCACAGAAGCAATTAAAAAAAAAAATCTAACCTGGATCCTCATTACCATTTTATTTCCCAAACAGGAAAGGTACTATACGTAACAAATATCACTGTCATCTTTCTCTTATGAATACGAGCCTAAATAAAGTTAACTGAGAAATATAGATGACAACTAATCGGCATGCCTATTATCATATTCTCACGGCTGTTTACTTCTGGCAGTCTTTACCAACAAGTCTTCATAAGTCCTCTGAATCATTAACGTCATATACACAAAGCTACTACCAACTCAATGGACTTAGCAAGAATGGAAAGCTACTGGCCACTCTGGTACAAGGCAACTATATCATATCTTCTGCTCCGAGCTGAAGTAACTGTAGGTCACATGTAAAATGCATAGTTCTCATGGTGGGTGGTAGTATACGGGCCTTCGTAATTTGTAAGCCAGGAAACACAAAAACAGGGGCTCTGCACACTATTCTTCTATCTGAACTTTTTGTTTTTTTGTTTTTGAAACAGAGCCTCACTATGTCGTTTTGGCCACCCTGGAACTGCCAATCCCCCTGCTTTATTCAGCACTCTGAGGGCTGTGATTGTGGGCATGTGCCAGCATGCTCAGCAGCATCTGAAAATGCAATGGTCAGAAGTCAAGATAATCGTCTATACGTTCGCTTCTCCAATTATAGTCCTCAGACCTGTAGCATCTTGGGAGCTTGTTAGCCACAAAGAAACTCAGTGCTCACCTGGATTTACTGTATTAAACTCATCATGTAAGATTCATGGGTGAGTCATTAAAGTTAACACAGACTACAGGACACAGAACAAAATAGCTGTTCTCTCAAAACAGCCCATGATATTAATACATGGAATATTGAGTATTCGGGATTTAGTAATATGGCTGTTGGCCTAGAGTCTACATTCAGGTTGTCAAATCTTTTTATTTGGATATATGTAAGAAATTCTAGTATCCAAACACAAACTTTCTGATGATAATTGGAAGTACATTAGTTGAGTAAATAGAAATTTGTTAAATGTTTCACAAATACATTTCACAGTCATAAAATTTCAGTGCATATCATTTTATAAACTCAGAAACAGGTGTTATCTAGAGGAATTTTTAAAGAAAGGAAGAAAGAAATAAAGGAAGGGATGGACAGAGAAACCTGTCCTTATCTTAGCTATTACATTAGCTACTTCTTTTTAGTTACTCAATTAGCATTTTTTGACAAAACAACAAAATATTAAAAAAATAAGCTATAATAAAAAGCAACGATGATGGAATTTTCATTTAAATTAAAGTTATCAATGAATGTCACTCCAACCATGAGGCACTTTGCACAGACAACAGGCATCTTAGATGGGACGCCAGTCTACTACTACAGCGTTGTTCCGGGATAAGTCTGGACTCCTTCATTTTGCAGCTGTAGACACTGGGTCTGTATCCAGAGCTGAAGAGAATGCAAAGCCTCACTTTAACTTCATCCAGTCATGAGAAACTGCTGCTGGGACAGTGGGAACCTTAGAGGAGGCAGCAAACTCATCTACACAGACTAAGGTGCTAAATTCTTACTGTTGGAATACACAGAAAGGCAAAATGTTAAACACCAATCAGGGAGTGGAGTTAGAAGAAGATGAGCCCTCAATGCTTCTCTTTCCTAGAATGTGCATTTCATTTCCCTTCCTGGGAAAGGGTTTTGGTTTTGACAAGTAACACCAAAATCAATGAACCTTTAGCTGGATTAGTACAAACTCCTTCCAGCCTGCCTTTGAAAATTGAAACTGGGAACTCCTAAAGAACCACACCTTATTAAGCAGCCCTTAGTCACTACTATGACTAACGTGCCACCAAACTACGACTTTAAAAGTATCAGTGACAACCACCACCAGCCTTTCTGTCCGAGTTTGGTAGACAACTACTTGGCCCAGCATATTTTATAATATTACAACTATTTTCCTAACAAGAAGTTCTATGAGGAATCCATGTACTCCTTGACTAGATTTCTAAATGCTGTGATGACCGCAAAGAACCACACCATGTCTGCTGCCAGCACACCTTGAGAAAGTATAAAACACAGAGCAATTCCATCATGAAGCCCTTCACAGGAGAAAGAAGAGTCACTGCTAACAAAGAGCAGGTAACAGGAAGGACCGCTGCAGCCTTAGGATGTTTCTCCTGAACACTTTCCCCAAGCCATAACAAAACACTGAGGCCCATATTAATGGAAGCATTTTGCACACTGTCCTAATTGGGCTCTGATACTGTGATGGAGCACTAACCTTTTGGCTGGGAGAGGAGAGGGGCTTACAGGTTACTGTCAATTGACAGAAGTCAGGGCAGGAAGGAAGGAAAGCAGGGGCATGAAGCAGAAACCAGGGAGGAACACTGCTTGTAGGATTGCTTCTCTGGCTTGCTCAGCTACCTTTCTTATAAAGCACAGGCCTGCAGGCCTAGGGATGGCACCACCCACAGTGAGATGGGTCCGCCTGCATCAATTAGCAATCAAGAAAATGCCCTGAAGACATGGCCATGAGACAACTGATGCAGACAATTCTTCACCTGAGGTTCCCTCTTTCCATGTATACACATTGGCAACTGTCTTAGTTAGGGTTTCTGTTGCTGTGATGAAATACCATGACCAAAAAGGAAGTTGGGGAGGAAAGGGTTTATTAAGCTTACACATATTCATATCTGTTCATCTGAAGAAATCAGAACAGGAACTCAAATGGGGAAGGAACTGGGAGGCAGGGGCTGATGCAAAGACCATGGAGGGGTGCTGTTCCCTGGCTTGCTTATTATGCTTGTTCAGCCTCAGAACCACCAAGCCCAGGCATGGCCCCACCCACAATGGACCGGGCCCTCTCCCATCAATCGCCAACCAAGCCCTACAGGCTTACCCACACACAACTCAGTTTTTTTTTTTTTTTTCACAGTCAAGTCTTATGAAAACATTTTTTTAATTGAAGTTCCCTCTTCTCAGATGACTTTAGCTTGTATCAAGCTGACATACAACTATCCAGCACAACAACTGAAATTATGACACTAATGATGAGTCCTGCTTATGTGTCTGCTTTGAGCCACATTAGTCTACACACGTTCCCTGTGTCTGGATGTTTAAGAAGAATAGCAAATGATTTCCTGGAGAATACAAGCAACCTCTTCTAAAGGCCTTTGTTAATATTGGTAGGTCATTATCCAGTACCAGGAATATGATATGAACTATAAGGGAAATCTGGGCAAAATGCACTAAATTAGAGGTAATTACACATCTATGCAAGGTAAAGGACACTGGAATTCTGATTCACTTATGCATACTATAATTTCTATTTATCCACTGAAGCAACTGAAGAGCTATAGACTTTAAATCCAGGAAAGTCTCACTTCGCCAACTATCATAATTGCCTTACAAAACAATGTCAAATAACATTATACTGTCAACTTCTAATTATGCATGTGAAGAGAGCCCAGGGATACAAGGATAATTGGCATTTACAATTAATCCTCAAACTTCATTTTGACTAATAGTAAAGCCTCTCCCATGACTAAATCTCTTCCCTCAACACTGAATGTAACACAATCAACTAGTTAGATGTTTGACTTTGCTATCCCCTGGCTATCCTTCAGTTGAAACATGAAATAGTAATCAGTCAACCATGAAGAGGTAGAAGAAAAACACAGAAGCTACATAATTAACGAATTTGATAATAAAATCCTGAAAATCAGATTTGCTTACGTTTGCAACTGTGACTTTAAGCTTTTCTTGTAAGATCTGTATATAACATATGAACTCGCAAAGAGTTTGGCAGAACACACAAGACCTGTACAGCTTCAAGCCAGATGGGAAAGAAAAGTAGACTCGGGGTTCCAACCCTAACCAAGAAGCTATCTGCAATTGATACGGGTTGGCAAGGGAAAAATCAGTTTTCGTCAATGGTTTCACTGGGTGATATCATATTCCACATTCCCGATCAGGCCTAATGCCCAGGAGTAGCTTCAAAACACAAAATTAACTCAAAGGTATCTTTGTAGGCATTTTGCTTCATTTTAGTTTGGTTTTGTTTTTGGTATTTTTGTCATATTGGTCTTTTGCCTGTTTTGAATTTCATTTTTGTGGTGTTTTTTTTTTTTTGAGGAGGTTGCTGCTTTTTATTATTTGTGGGTTTTCTTTCTTATTTTTGTTTTTGTTTGGGGGGAACCATAAAATTGGGTGGGGAGAGAGATGGGCAGGATCTGGGAGAAGATTCGGAAGGAGATAAACATGATCAAAATATATTGTATTAAAAATGTTAATTAAGAAAAGATGGGTGTGTAAACTGAAGCATGTTGCAGTCTTAATTCAGTGTTCTTCTGGAAAATTCCATAAATCTGATTTTCTTGTTTAAAGTTTCTTTGTGTAAGAATCCTGTACTTATTTTACAAATACAATCTTCAAAATGTTATCAAACTATCAGTGTCATGTTAATAACTAAACTATGTCTACAGAAATCATTTTCATGATGACAAAAATTTCACAAATGTTTTGTTGGAATTCACCAGCAAGGACACTGGAAAATCTTAGACTTGGTGCAGATGAACTCGGAAATTATAACTTGATTTTTTTTTTAACTTTAAAGGGAACATTCTGGAACAGACAGCCTGTTGGAGCTATGAAAACAGACAATAAAGACTCAATTATAACACTAAGGCACCTACATATTTTATTCAAATCGGTTTCAAGATATTCAGACTTCCATCCTATAAAAATCATTTTGTATCCAATATAATACTACATGTTTTCTTTAACTTTTCTACTCACTTCTGTGTGACTCCCTAAAATATGGATATATAACTAAGCCTGCTAAAGCTCACAAAAACGGATCACTGCTGGATCTATGAGATCTTAAATTAAGACACCAGGGATTATAACTGTACAGAAAAATAGAGGGAGATGTTTACTGTCTTTGACAGCTTTATGGATAACCATCTTTCTTTTATCTTCTGAAAGAAAGAGTTACATGGCTCTTACTTAACAAACACTGCACATTAATCCAGAATAATTAATGCACCTATCTAGAGGAGGGACGCGTAAGGCCTTACAAAAATTAGTGAACTTCGCCGGGCGGTGGTGGCGCACGCCTTTAATCCCAGCACTCGGGAGGCAGAGCCAGGTGGATTTCTGTGAGTTCGAGGCCAGCCTGGGCTACCAAGTGAGTCCCAGGAAAGGCGCAAAGCTACACAGAGAAACCCTGTCTCGAAAAACCAAAAAAAAAAAAAAAAAAAAAAAATTAGTGAACCTCATTATACGCATAACATAGTTCAACTTTTTCTGGTACCTCCCATCATAACTGCTCATCATGACCTGTTGCTTTCTTTCCAGTATGTGTCAGCTCATTCCACCAACATTTAGTCACCCAATGGCGGGGGCGGGAGAATATTTCACCAGTGTTACCACTCAAGAGCCCAAACCAAAACCACTAAAGAAGGTAGCCAGCCTTACAGGGGTGAATTATTTAGAACTGCACAATCGGACCCCCTACAAGACCATGAGTACACAGTCTGGGCTTCATTCTTTAAAGCCCAGAGGCACAGATCTCCCTGAATCTCTCTTGAAGACGGGAAGTTATTCCGAAGGTATTCTGAGGACTTTATTTTGGACAACCACTAAATCGCAGGAGAACTGGCTCAGTTCCTTGAGGCGCCTCGATGTCCCCAAACAGCCCTCCACCCCACAGGTCACCAGTGTGAGGGACTTGGTCCTGGGAAGGATTCCCTATGCTCAGGACCACGGAGGAACCTACACGCCTAGCAGGACTTAAGTGGGCGGCTGGGGTGACAAGGACTCCACTGGGGCACGCTATGGATGGGGCGGTCCGCAGGCGCCCCCCGGAGGATGCCCCGCGCGCAGGCCCCGTGCGTCACCGTCGCCGGCGGCCACCAGAAGGATACGCTCCAGGTAGTAGGCACCATCGGCGGCCACCGGCTCCGCCGCCGCCGCCGCCGTGTCGCCCGAGGACGACAAGCCAATGCCCAGCGCCTCCTCCAGCACCCGCAGCTGCGGGACCCCACGCGGAGCGGCCATCCCCGCGGCCGGGACCACGCTGCCCCACGGTGCCACCACCGACCCGACCGGCGTGCCAGCTCTCGCGAGATCTCGGGACCCTTCACCCCTCTCTAGCCAACAAACAACCCGAGGAGCCTAGCCCTCGGCGTGTCCGCGGTTACTACGGCAACGCGTTGCCTAGTTACCCCCCCGCCCCCACCCCCCCCCCCCCCCCCCCCCCCCGCCCGCCCCACGCCGCTTGTAGCGGAGACCGGATGCCACTGACCCAGGGGCTTAGATGAGGTTTTTTTTCACCCAGGCTACTTGTTGGGGTTTTTGGGGGGTTTGCTTGGTTTGGCCTTTTGCTTTGACGCCGTTCTTTCTCGCTTCTCTTTCTTCATGGCTTTCCTTTTCTCATGTGTATCACACGCCAAACATCAGTCCTCAATTTTTAGGTGGGTAGAGAGAACCCCCAATGTTTCCAGTGGGTGCAGACTTAAGAAAGGGCGGTGGTGGTGCACGCCTTTAATCCCAGCACTCTGGAGGCAGAGCCAGGTGGATCTCTGTGAGTTCGAGGCCAGCCCGGTCTACAAAGTGAGTTCCAGGACAGGCGCAAAACTACACAGAGAAACCCTGTCTCGAAAAACCAAAAAAAAAAAAAAAGAAAGAAAGAAAAGAAAAAGAAAGGGGAGAATACTCCTCTCTCCAACTAGAGGAAGGAGAGGTGAGTTCTAGAAACCATTATTGGCCTACTGAGGAGCTGCCCAGTGTCCCTCAGACCCTTGGCGATGAAGGACGGGGGTGCTCACCTGTATCACATCCTTTCTAGCAATCTTTTAAATCATTTATGTGGACATCTGTTTTGACTTTGGCCTCATACGCACGGACTTGGAATAGTCCCAGTCGCATCAAATTATAGCATTGATTTTTGCTGAGGTAAACCCATGTCCATAAAAATTATGAGCTACCTATGACCCTAACATAAAGTTTTTACATGATATTTGGCCTAGGAAATGTAGTTAAGAGCTAAATGTGCTTCCTCAGGGGAAGGGGGCAGGGAGGAAGAGGAGGAGATAAATGGGAGAAAGAGACAGAGAAGAGACAGAGGTGGGGGAGGGGGAAGGGAGAGAATGAACTGATTTGTCCAGTCATGTGTCTTACTGCTGTGGCTGGAACTTAGTGTTTATATAGTGTATGCAATCAGGCATCATTAAGACCACTTTTCTTTCAGGTTCTTTTTATTCTACATTGCTTGATGAATTCCAGTTGGTAACTATATAAAAGCTCCCATTTATTGAGAGAGAGAGACAGAGACAGAGACAGAGAGAAAGACAGAGAGAGAGACAGACAGAGAAAGGGGGAGAGGAAGAGGGACAGGCAGAGAGGAGAGAGAGGGCGTGGGAGGGAACTGGTAACTTCCTAGGGGGTGATTGAGACCCCCAGTGTTGGAAGCCGGAACTAAACAAGAGCCCATTTCCATCAGGACTTACCTCTGGCCACACCACTAACTGCCTGTAGGCCTCAGCCTCCTCATTTGTAAGCTGAGGATAATGTCACCTACCTCAAATGGTTGCTATTAGCTGTAAATCAACAAAGCATTAGGAAACCATTCAGAGCATACAGCAATAAGAAATATGAGCTGTTTCTATTAAACATGTTTGTCTTGGTTTTGAGTTTTAGAACACAGGACACAATGATGTCTAAACAGTTCAAGTCGCTGTCGTTTTCTCACATCAAACATTCTGAGTGCTCATGAAATGCATGGAATTGAAAATACAGGAGAGGAATTCTGAAAATGGGGATCCATTGACTTATAGGGAGTCTGCTCTTCATTTCCAGGGAAGCATGACCTCAGCTATCAAGATGCTTAGCTGTAAACTGAGCCTTGAAAAGTGACCTGAGTAGTCAGGGCCATGCACTGTTGATGTCTAGAAGGGCAAGTAGAAACATGAGACCCGCAGAACTCTCAGAGCTTCTAATGTCTAGTTTATTTTATCTGCTACGAAGTCTCTGTTGTCTTTGAATACAGTGTGTTCTCTTCTACAGACACCTTGATATCTAAGCTCTTCCTCATTGTCTTAGGTAAATTAAGCTCCCTGGACTACATTCTATTTTTTTTCTTTTTAGTTATTTATTCATTTATTCATTTTATTAAATGTTCTATTCCTTTTACATACCAACCACAGATCCACCTCTCCTCCCTCCTCCCGCCCCGCCAGCCTCCCCCAACCCACCTCCCATTCCCACCTTCTCCAAGGCAAGATCAACCATGGGGAGTGAGCAAAGTCTGGTACATTCTCTTATAAAGACTTTTAAAATCTATCTACCTAGGTATAGAGTAAGTGGGGGGGGGGGGGTTAAAATATATAAAGTGTTCTTTCCCAGTACTTGGCAGGCAGAGGCAGATGGATCTCTGTGAGTTTGAGGACAGACTGGTCTACAGAGTGAGTTCTGAGACAGCCAGGGCTGTTACACAGAGAAATCTTGTCAAAAAAAATTTTTATCATTTCTGATAGATCAGGTATTTCTGTAAGTAATGTAAGTAAAATTTGCCTAAAATATTGTGACTGTGATGAGCCCAAATTGAATATTTGTAAAGAGCTTAATATATAAGAATTGCTATATGGTAAAGCACAATCTTTTTAGAAATAGTCAGGACTTGAATATAAGATGTGGTTTAACAAAATCATGAAATACAAAGTACAACCAGTATTAACAGATATACTCGTCAAAAGGTCTGGAAATGAAAAAGAGGTATTCTACACCCCAAACGAGAAAATTTGTGAGTCTCATTACGTCAGGCTTCCAAATAACCAAGGTATTAATTGAGTTACTCATCCATTTATGTCCGTGTAATAGATTTCAAATTATAAACTCACCCAAGATCTGTCACCCATTACAACTGAAAGTATGTTCCACAGAGATCATTAAGGTTTCAAAAATTTCAAATTAAAAGAAGTTCTAGCATTTGTGTAAGTTTTTTGATATCTACAATGGATAAACTATGTTTTAAAGAACAATTTGATAAAAAAAAAAATTTAACAAGCATAAAAAAAAAATAATGCTTTCAGATTTTAGAAAAAGAAAGAATCTGTGACGACTGCTGCTCTCCTGGAAGTCCCCTGTCTTTGCAAAGACTGCATTTGAAAGCTGCCTTGCTGTGTTTTGGAATTGCTAGTCTGTAGATACTGCTTTCATTTAAAGGGGGTGGGAAAAGCTTACTAAGAGAACACACACACACACACACACACACACACACACACACACACACACAGACCTTTAGATTACAATAGTGGGTTGAATTATGATATATTTTTATCCTGTAGATGTTTCTTTTTGGGGGGTATATTTTACATGCTTCCTTAAAGTGGGGATGGAAAAAAAAAAAAAAGAAGCCAAATGCCTTAGCGTTTTGATGAATGAGCAGGAACCTGCTTTTTGCTTTGACTGTGCTCCCCAAAGAGGTAAACAAAGAAAACAGCAGAGACGGTCAAAATGAAGCAACAATTACAGAGGACAGCAAATGTAGTCTCCTCCCAGCCTAAATGCTCCATTTATGCAAAAGTGAAATCATTTTTAAAAGCAAAACCAGAAAGCAATCTGGCAATGAATACACTCTGCACGTGTATAGTTTCAAAGCAGAAAATACTCACATGCAAATATGTTGCAAAGTCCAATTCAATTATCAAAGATAATGGCATTCATTTGCTACCAATACAGCCCAAGCCATTTATTGATGCACCTTTTTTATACAAGCAGCTTTCTTATTTTCTTTCAAAATCTCGCAGTAAGTGGTAGTCAGGTTTAGGGTTTCTGAATTCATGGAAATAGCAACAATTGTGCTGAAAAATTATCTTTTTTTTTCAAGCACACGTGGCACATTTTGCATCTTGCACCAGCATCCATTTGAAAATCCATTCCTCCCATATTCTTTCACTGTGTGATTGAAACAGAGTCAGTCAGTTCTCAGTGGTGAGGAGCACCTGACACAAGCTTAACCCAAAAGAACTTCTCATTCCTTTTGGCTACAGCAAGAACCTCTGATTTCCAATATAATTCCTGGCTTCTAGTACTTTCAAATTAAAAGGTATGAGGGCTTCATGGGAAAAATAGCTGATTCTAGGCCTTGCCCAGGGAGATACAAAAGGACTCAGAAGAAACTTCCCAATACCAGAAAATTTTTTTAAAAAGTCACTCCTGCTACAAAGAAAAAA